GTATATAGGATACTATTTAATACTTATTAGGCTAGTTCTTCTATATACCTCTTATCGCTATTAAGCGTGAGAACGTTAAAGAGTTCTTTTGATAGGCCTTTCTTAATATAGATATAATTAAATCCTTCTCCGAAGATAAAGTAAAAGACTATGTGAAGAGTATTAAGCTTAATACTAGGTTAAAGTTTAAGCACGAACATGCCAATATTAAATGTCTATAATTAACTTTGGATAAAGTTAATACGCTTCATTAAAGTCTGATGTGGTACTTAGTAAGGTTCTCATTCTATTATATGAGTTTACTAGTGTTAATATCGCTATTATATATCTTCTTTATTAACGTTCTTATGTATATCTATATATACCTTTATCACTTTTATCACTATAGTGCTTTAATTAAGCGCTTTTTTAATGTCTTCTCTCTATGGCTATAGACTCTTCTATAAGTTCATTATTCTCTAGCCAAAAATTTGATATACTAGTATTATCCTTATACTTCTTAGGCGGAGTTACTAATACTGTTTCTTTATGGTATTAAAGTTAGTCTATACCCTTACATAGAATTCCTAAAAGAATTAAATTAATGTTACTTAGCTAAGGATAGTATTATAGAGATCCTTACAGTTAAAATGCTATCTATCTTGTCTTAAATTATGCCCCCTTTATCTTAAAAGCAAGAAATGTGTTAATAGCTTCGGACCATTTTATAATATCATGGATTTAAGCGATACATATTAGTGTCTTATTTATATGTTTATCTATTACCATTAAGGTCTCTTACTAAATGTCATACTAAGATATAGCTTAGTAATCTTTATATATCTCTTAAAGATACCTAAACTAGTAAGTATAATAGCTTTAGTAATCCTGGTTAACCCTATTTCTATTCTACTTTATTAACTAGATATTATGTATAATTTTATAAGATAATCCCTTAAGGCTTACTTACTAGAATAAACTATATTAGCTAATAATAAAACTAGATTATACGTAGACCTAAGCTCGCGAACGAATGGCTATTATGATACTTTAACTCTAAGGATATAGGAGTAGTGCACACACTCTCCCGCATATTCTTCTGGTCTAAAAACATTATATGAACGAATAACCTTTTAAGCTATTATGTTACAGTTTTTCTCGCCGGTAAAGACTTAATCATTAATACCCCTTTTATTTATGAATATCTATAAGTAATAGATAAAGATAAGAGGAATAACACTAAGCGTGTTAGCTTTTATAGCGATAATATCCTAGTAAAGTACGATTCTAAAAACGGTGTACTAGAAGACCATAATGATAATAATAAGCTAAATATGATGTGGTCCCTAAATCTTAATCATAGCTAGATATTTAATTAGCTAACTTAGAGAAAATAGCTAGTGAAATAGGCTTATATGCACGCGCGAGGTAATATTGCCCTATAACATAAGAGATATTAGACTCTATGTTTAGGTGTACCTAAAAGATAAGTTATCTCTAAGGCTGCCATGGCCCTTTATATCTTTAATTTTGTTAAGAAAATATGTGTTATTTGAGACAATCGAATTCTTATTTATTGCATTATATACTGGGTTTCTAAATATACTAAGCTAGCCTCTATAGCTAGCGAGAGGAGTTTTATTAATATTATCTAAATATATATTCTTATTATTATGGCTCTTAATGTAAGAAGCCTATAGATAACGTATTAGAATCTAGAGATTAAATAGTTAATAACTCCTTCTCTATGCTAATGGCCGTACTGCCATTTAATAAAAGACTATCTATACTATAAGTAAAGAGATTATGGTAACGTTAACGCAAAATCTGGCCGTCTCTCATGGTAAAGACTTTCTTAACGTGAACGTAGGTGTCGGTTTAAGCGGTGCTACTAGCTTTAATTTCCTTACTCCTACCATTATTATATAGATGAAAATGAGTAAGTTAAGGATGATTACTTACTAAGCTAGCGCGAGTTAGGGGGTAGTAAGGCCGTATAACCCTGTTTCCTAATTTAGGTTAAGATATAAGTAGTTATATAGTGACTCACTCACTAAGTCTTCTGTGCGGTATCTTCTTTCTCTTTAGCTAGTGAAAGTTTATTCTTTACTTTAGCAGGATTATGATGGCCGACAATATTAGGACATAATGTTTACTTTTTTAGGTAGCTTTAATCCTAAATATTCTCTATCTCAATTAACTCGCTATTATATTTAGCTAATATATATATACTATAGTGAGGGAAGTAGCCAGAACAATCCTTTCTAATCCTAACATTAACTTTCTGATCTCCTTTTTATAGATTATTATAGATCTAAGTTATAAGTTATAGCTTACTAGTTATTATGTCGCTATGTGATTTCTTATAAAGCTTATTAATATGGTTACACTCCTAATTACACCTAATAATATTCTTATAAGTATAGTGGTCGGAGTGAAGTATTATCTAAATGTTATTTTCTTATTTCTGTAAGGTAGTAATGTTAATATTTAGTATATTATTACATTTAGCTGGAGTTATCTCAGTTATATTAGTAAATACTGGCGCATTCGTAAAGTCCCTAGAGATAAAATACTTAACTTTGCCTTTGTCTTTAGAAAGGGCTAAATAATGACGCTATAATGAACATAGTAACACAAAACATTAGCTCTATATTCCTTAGGTATTAGTGTTAGATACCTTAATAAGACTCTATGCGTAGTAGCTTTAAAGAAGGTTAGTGGAAGGAGAAATTAGACTATGAGAACGAGTATAAAGTGTGCGAAATATAGTAATGGGAATTGGGGTCTTAAAGGTATTAAATTGCGATATGGTGAGGATAAATGTGCGTCTTAGTATGGGTGTGTTTCTAGTTAATGGGTTAAGGATAGGAATAGTAGAGTGTAAAGTGTTTTGCGGTGTTCTATATAGGGTTAGGTGAAAAAGATAACGATAAAGAGGGAGGGAATGGGTAACGTTAATCTGTCTCCCGTTTAAATGGAGTGAGTCCCGCAGAACCTACTAAAATCTGGGAGAGCTAATGTTTAGGCAGCAGTTTTCTTATGACTTCTTAGCGGGCCCCATAACTAGGCTTACACCCACGAATTAGTCACTCCTAGAGTTACTAGAAAGCTCGCCAAAATGATTACTTAACTGTTATCGCTACGTCTTGCCTACCTATAGAGCTTATAAATATAAAGGTTATAAAGGCTACTATATTTCTTCTTTCACTAGCTTTTACCTCTACTTCGAGACTAACTTAAACAGTCTAAGTTATATATGCATATCTTCCTTTCATTACATATGGCCTTAATAGTTTGTATAAGCGAATGGAATGGTCCCACTATAATGTCCCCTATAATCACTTAGGAAGCCTTAGTCTGAATTCATGGCTGGTGGTTTAGATCTACTTAAGATTAAGGTTAAGACTTTAATTCTATTAGTCTTAACTTAGCGCTAATCTTAGACGAACCTAGTGTTTAGTGCTATAAACCTCTTATGGGGTTAAACTATATTATCACTTTTCCTTATAATAGAAATTACTCTTATTAATTCGCACGGAATTTAGTTATCTCTTTACTAAACTTATTCTTTAGATAACCCTAAGACCACACTAGTCTATAACAATAAATAGGCACTAGAAGTAATAAGCTATAGGCCTATAAGACCGTTAATTACCTATTATAATGGTGTATCCTACCTAAGCTCTAGGTTTATATTACCTATTTATTAACTGTATAAGTAGCTATATTAAAGGGGTTATCTTTTTACCTAAAGGATTTAGGGTAACTCTTATTCTCTTTCCTTCTAAACATATTTAATAGTTAGTATAATTTTCGCTTCCTACATGAGGCCGTTATAACTAGGAAGACCTTAGGTTTTAGTGAAAGAAAGCGCGATAATAGCTTCTATAGCATTATGAGATTGCCTGCTAAGCCTGATTTCTAAAGTCTTCTACTATTTATAATAGCGTCTTTATTTTCACAAAGTTTTAATATCTTTAGAGATGGCTTCTCACTTCTAGGTATATTACTCTATAAAGACGAACTAAATCTATCTAGTCGTGTTAAAACTGAAGATAGAGTGACTTAATCTTTATTAAGGCCAGTCCTAAGATCTTTATAATAATATTAATATATTAATATTAGTCTAGAGCTAATGAGATCTTATTTCTATCCTAGTTATATTGATTAGAAAGGCTACTATTTTGATAGTCTAGTCTAGCGCAGATCTTCTTATCCCTAAATAGAGACTATCTCCACTAATTTTAGAGTAAAGATACTAAAAGAAACTTATCGCCGTGACTAGACATTATTAAATATAATATCACTTAATATACTTAATAGAAGATTTATGGTTATAGTCATGAAAAGCCTTAAAGAATATTAATAACTTAAATGGGTAAGAGAAATGCTTATAGTTTACTAAGAAGAATGTTCTTAAATGTGCTTAAAGCTAACTATATAGTGTGAAGCCTATTTAGCGAAGCAGTTTTATCTTGTGACGCTTAGTGACGAAATGAGCTAGAGAAGATTGTTATAAGACACATTATAAACATGTCTACAATGTGTCGCAAATTAGCGGAGCCAGGAAAATGAGAATACTCGCTAAATTAGGCCATGGTTAAAGGATGTGCAGTTGGCCAGATAAAAATAAGCTAAGATATCTCACGCTGGAAAAGAGCTGCTAGCTCGGGAAACTGCGCTAACCCTCTAGAAGAAAACGAAGATTAGGCTGTATATAGACCTTTAATCTTATCTCTTATAGGGCTCTAATCCTACTCGTGATATGCCCTTACTACGCTAATCTATTCTCACTAGATATTTATCGAAATTTGTGTACACTTCTTAAGTTCTAAATCTCTAAAGTAAAAGTTAGCTAACTAGCTACAGAGTTAACACATACTATCTAACGGAGTGATAGATTTAGAAACAGAATAGAAGTGAAAGAAGGAGTTCGATAAAGGACAATTAGATACTCCTATTAATTTCTAGGCAAGAGCGAAGAGAAAAGAGAATGATTCTACTAGAGAAGTGTGAAGTGTTAATTAGTAGCCTAATATTAAAACCTCTAAACACATATAATCTGACATTTAACATAAGACCCTGTTCACTCATGCTTCTCTGTTTATCTCTCCCCCTCTACCACCCCAAATCTCGAGTCTCGGTGTGAGACTTTGAAAGCTAACGACAAAGTCATATGTTTGTCTGACGTTCTCCCTTGACTGTAGTTTGCTAACACCTCCCATGAAAGCATTGCCCTCGCCACCTAAGTAGAGGCTGTTTTCCACAAATGGCATATTAACCACCTCCGCTACTCTGGTTTTCCCGCGGACCCTAATTCCTATTTTGATCCCTTTTATATTCCACCCTAGCCTCACTATTCCCATCGCGATGTTAACTCCTCCCAAGCTCGGACTCGGTCCTCCGCATGTGACCTTCCCGATCACCTCTCGTGGATCGTCCAGATCAACAATTTTTGCCCCTTCTCGCGCCGCAAGGCCCGGTTCCACAACCAAGCCAACTCGCTGCGCGGAGATGGTATCCGGTCTAGAGAGCTGGGAGACTATAACCTCATGCCCATTGAATGCTGGGGAATGATCTAATCGACGGTCTTCGGGTATCATCCAGCTCAGCCCAGCTTGAGGAGGCGTAGTCGCAGGGTCGATATCATCTCCGTACAGACACAATCCAGCCTCAAGACGCAAAGAGTCCTTCACTCTCAAGCTCGCCCAGCGGCACGCCTGAGGGTCAGATGTAATGGCGTTAGCGATGGATGTAACTAGTGCGGGACCAGGGCCCCTTTCAGGAGGGATTGATATCTCAAATCCATCTTCGCCGGTGTGACCAGTGCGGGACACTAGAAGAGAAGGTGTGGTAAAACCCTCCATGCGAAGGTGAAGTTGAAGCCAGCGCGAGTGACCGAAATACAGGGTTGAAAGGGATGAGTCTGGCTCCGGATCATCCCCGTCAGAGAAAATCATTGATTGAAGTATTGCAGAAGACAAGGGCCCTTGTATAGACAGAAGGGAGTAGTTTTCAAGCACATTCCAATCAATGGCTTTCTTGGTTGCGCATTTTGAGGAGATGAATCGAGACAGCTGGGATCGTAGGAAAGATAGATCGGAATCGTGGCACCTTGAGTTCGTCACCAAGTAGAAGGACGCTTTACCAAGACGTGTGACGACGACGTCGTCCACCATTCCGCCCTCTAATGAGAGGAGGCAAGACAGTATTGACGAGTGTTTGGCGAGCTTGTTGATCCCACCGGGTGTGACAGTCATGAGAAATTCCTCAGCTAGGGGGCCGGAAATGGTATGTTGGACCATGTCCGAAACATCGAAGAGGGATGCATGAGAACGGGTCCATTTGTGCGATTCCGAATGACTTTGATGCGGATATCCAGCCCGCAGGGAGTCGTTGGAAAAAGGAATCGCTTCAGCTCCTAGCTTCCTGTGCACATCGTTGAAAGGCATGGGCATTACCGCTGAGGTACTCGAGGACATCCGGAAACGGGGATATTGACGTTGCCTGGATGAACTCGCGAGAACTTGAAAGCGACCTAATCCCGAGTGTCTGATCATAATTCAAATGAGACCTTTGCCACTGATTGAGCCTTGACGCCTTAGCTAGCAACGACGGTGTTGCCCATATACTGAGGGTCTGGATGACGATATATTTTTGATCGACACGCTAGTTGTGTTCTTTGGCCAATTGCTAGGGAAACATAGATAGATGGTTGAGGAGGTAAGCATCTGCAGTAGCTGGGCAGGAGTTGACAGCACATTCCCGCCCCAGAGAGGATCAGTGCCTGATTGCATAGATCGAAGGATTTTAGTGTAGAGGCTGGATGCCTCTTACTCAAGAAGTCGCGCATCAGGTCACCTGCATTTTCCATCATCGTGTTCGGCCACACGAACCAATGAACAGGCGACTTCTTGACCCAGGTTTCTGGGGATCACCTGGGCCCACATTGGAGCCTGCCAATGAAATCCCAGCAAAAGAACTGCTGCGAGCACCTCCCGACGCTGGCTTCCGTCGGTTGCCTGATTTCGGGCTCGTTCTAGACCTCAGCAGCTTGGGGTCACTTGATGGGAAATTTGAACCGAACACATGAGCCCTCTAACTGTTGGATTTCTTTTGTAGTCTTCCCGGGCACTCTGGATCCCGCGTGCTCTCTAGGCGCGACCTAGCTCAATCCAGACGCAGAGGAGACGAATTGTCGTCACTTATACCTTCCATCTAGGACCTAACTTGTCGCCTGGAGCGGGCTTTGGCTTTACTTGCCTAAACCTCAAATTGTTCCGGACTTACGGCGACCAATTTTTACCGTCGAGCGCCGACAAGCTTTGCAAGTTCGACAAAGGATAGATGCTGATTTGTTACTTCTTCACAGACCTTGTTGGAAAGGATCACGTAGGTTGAAGCTGGGCGTTGCGGCGCACTTTCGTCAGGTTAGCGCGGCGCCTATATCTCTTCTTGCTCACAGGAGCGGACCTCAAACCCATCAGCTGTGCCCATATCGCCTAACACATCATTTATTGTCTCACTTTCTCCCTTAGGACTGCTGTCCTGGTTGTCGCGATAGTCCTTGGTTGCCCGCTGGCTGCAGTTGCACCGTTTATAATCTATTCTTGACAATGGCTGCTTTGGATTTGTCCGTCGCGGTATTCCCAACCACAGGGAATGATATAGTTGCAATACCGGCATCCAGCGCTGGTGGAGGGGATCATTATGTGATTGTTGGCTCTTCTAGTTCTGCATATAAGGAGCACCTCCTTTACCTGCCTCGCCAGCCGTGAACCACGACTACTTGCCAACATTTCTCCAAGTCTTTTACCAGCTATTAAGTCAGGAAATGTCATCGTGTCAGCGTAGCCAATTGCTGCAACCCTATCGATCCGGATATCGACTGATGTTGGCCGATGAAACTTGGAACAGTCCTCTCAGAAAGGCAATTGGAGATACCATTTTAGTTCAAGTGTTTCAATCTAAGCAAAAACAGGAATGGCGGTTGAGGGAGGGTTTCTTAGCGCGGGAATAGAGTGGAGGATGAGGCTTTAACTGAAAGCATTTAAATCTCAGTGTTCGGGTCGTGCCTGGTTGTGCCAGGTTGTGCCAGAATCATCCAGGCGATGACTATTTTCCCAGTATCGAGTTTATGAGCGGAAAGAAACTGACAGTACAACACGCACTTGACCTGTGCCCATTTCTCTCCCTCAAAGCTGGGTCGGATGCATAGTTCGCCTCAAGACGGAAGTGCATTTCCGATCATCCTCAAGGAAAGGTTCGAATGTCACGGCTTATGCCGATCCCGATTTACCGGCTCATTTATCCGCGCATGCAATGGTCTAGATCTAGGCTCTGGCCGGATAAGGAAGCCACGACGTCAGGTTAGCTTTATTATGTCTGTCGGCGATGAAAATTTCACTTATATTAGTTAAGGTCAATTCCTCAACGATCTTCAGAGCGAAATCTAGAAAGGGTGAATTCATTCCGAGTCCACTAACGCAACCCCATACCTACCATAGCTTTTGGTCGGGATAAGTCATAAGGACGACATATAAGAACACGAACTCGCAGGTAGTCTGGGGATAACAAGCGCCATTCTCATATATATCTACTACAGTGAATATACAATTCAATGTCCCAAAGGGTGGAGGAGTCAAACGAGGTAAAGCATGAGCGCTCCCAAATCCGAAATCTTTACTGACGCACATCTTATCAGGCCCCTACCGAGCGTGAAAGAGAGGTCTATGCACGGTACGAGACTTTAACCAAGCAAAATATCCTCCTACGTTCCCAGGTGAAAGTGAGTGAGTCACTGTTCATGGTTTCCGTCTTTATGAGGCTCCGTGTTTGAGTTTAACATTTTTTAGGAGCGCAAATTCTTCGACTCGGGCGATCTCGCAATCTCCAAAGCCACTGATGACTCCATGACTGGACATCCACGAACTGGAAAGCAGCATCCTATATCCGGCGAAATTCCTAAACTCTCGTCACCGATGTCGGGTGATAGCAATGTAAAGTCTCACGCGAATACTGCGCATGACCAAAACAAGACTAAAGAATGATGGGGTCCTATTTAACCGGGGGCGATGGTCAGCAGTGTGACCATGAGAAAAGTGCGTGTCTTAGAGCTTGGCCTCAGCCTTGGGCATAACCAAAGGAAGGATTATAATAGGTTGACAAGCTGGAGAGCTCTGTGTACCCTCAAACTTGTATCACATGGTCGGTGTACCCCTCACCACGGCTTTTGAATGTTTGGGCCTCAAGGTGCTGGCACACGAACGGATGGCCACACAATGAGTGCTCTCATGGTGTCCTCAAAGAGGTCCTTGACCCCAAGCAATGTCCCTCAGTTTTCGAGCAGTAGGCAGTAGTGCTTTTCAACCGTGTTTGGTAGTCTCGGAGCGTGTTCGCAAACATACATCTACTTTGCTTTTCCAAACCGAGGTGAAGCAAAGTCCAAGATGGTACTCGTGGTGGACGATTGTATTGCCAGGAACGAGGCGATGTCCAAAGCCTTGTGCCTGCATCGCCTGCACGATTGATCCTACCAGTGGTGGGTTGTGTGACTAGGGGAATTAGGGGGCAAATCAAGACCTCGTACCAATCAAGTTGCTCTCCTCATCCATTATAATCTCATCGCTGGCCATAGTAGACGTAACGAGGTCAGTCTGGCGATATATCCGAAACCCCGAGGTGAACTCCGAGCACGCAGATTCAAAGGTACCTCCATCGATCAATCGGGCGAGTCCGGGGACAGGTCATAGCCCATGTACTGTATAGTGTCTTTTGCTGCCATGACGAGCTGATTACAAATGGGTAGGAGTATCCGTGGTCACCCAAGAGTAGAGGGCATTCGTAGGGTCAGGCGCCGTTGATTTGATCTGTTTGCAAACCTTAAAGCGGCGCTGCTAAAGTTGTGAAGCGATACCTCGGCAGTCTTATGCTGCTTTACCAATTATCATATTGCACATACCATGTTTCACTGCATGCCCCTAGCTCAACATTTGATGGTGAGCAACGAGCAAAATAGGAATTGCATTGTACACTCTCCCAATGCGCCACCCTCGGATGACTGGAAATCAATAGACCGCCGGATCTCTGAAATCATCTACTTCAAACGCCCTGGCAGCGACACCACTCCTCCACTCTCCCGCCTCTCGATGCCCGCCGTATCCCTGACGAAACAGTTGCACACTGCCGGCGCCGTTATTAATGGCAATAAATGGAAGACATCCTCTCACCTCGGACAAGCATGACGAATGTCCATACCTGAATCGCTACAGATTCTGAGAACAAAGATGCCTTATGATTCGACCTTGCAGTCTTGAACGGTGAATATACCCTTCTCGGTCCCTTGTCTCGAGCTAAGTGGAATAGCTTGAACTGTGTACTCACCACTCACTCCGAGCACTGGAGCCTTCCACGTGGCAGTCTCCTTCCCTCCTGACGCGAAATTACAACTTGCAAGCAGAAACCACGGCCGAGACACCTAGTATTAAGCGCCGAAAGACAATGATTTGATACAAACATGGAATATGTACACTGACTTGACGAGGCTGCCAACTTCCAGGACCCGTCTACCAGTATCTGTCTGCGAAGCGATATCTGCAGCGTTTTTACCGATACAACAGCACAGAAGTGGATGGCAAGTTTATCGATGCAGTATATATTGTTAGTGGAGTTGGGCTTGTAAACAAAGAGCATTGGTCTTCCATCTGCTTTCCGTTATGAAGTCCTAGATTGTGCCACGCAGTCTTACTTGAAGTGAGGACGCGCTGTTGGCCGAATACACATGTCGGCTCATGCGATCATCGGCGCGGAATTGCGGCTAGACTAACGGCCACGTCAGGACGAACAGTCACTCGGGAAGAATCATTGGAGACTGCTTAGAGAGCCTTCGTCTTTAACGAAGGCGCCTTTGCATGGATATGCTCACGAGTGGATTGCCTGTTTGAGTTCGGCCATCCTATTAACCATCCATGGGATGTTCCACTGAGAAACTCGTGCGGAAAGATGATATATACGGCTCGAGAATATGTGTGATCTAGAAGAGCCTGCTGGTTGGATCCTGAGACGTTTGTGAGGATCGGCAGTTTTGATGTTGACAGAAAATTTAAAGAAAAACTTCATATATTTGCACTCTGCCTTCTACCCTACTCCTTTTTACTTCGCTGCTTAGGCAGGGTGCACTGACTGGAAAGCCACAGCTAAAGGACCCAGGCCACGGGGCTAAATAGCTTTCAAACATGATCCCTTCTGGAGCCAGACAGTTGTCAAAAGCCCGTCTCTCCGATTGCTTGACTTGACATGAGTCCCTGCACTTCATCTCTGGGATTCGAATCAACAATCACAACCTTAATTGGCCGAGGTGATATTCAGTCCTACACCGCCCGCTTTCGCGCTGATCAGGAACATGAATTGGGTAGGGTCGGTATTGAATTCCTTGACGGCTTGATACCGATCTTCATACGTCATACTACCGTCGAGGTACTCCACGTTGAATTGCGTACTGATGAACACGGTGAGAAGCATACGTAATAACCGGACGGTGTGCGGAAATATTAGCACCTTATTGTCGACAACCTTGGTCATGCCAGAATGTCAGCAGTTTCTTCAAAACCCTCCACTTGCCACAATACTCGGAATTGCCAGTATGCAAAATGCTGTCGCGAGTTTTGTACAGTTCCCACCATTGATCGGGCATTGCGATCTCGAGCAGGTCGAGAGCTTTCGCTTGTTTCTCGCTCGAGCCACTGCCTTGGGAGATGAGACTGGCTGAATGATTTGATATCTTCTGAAGGTTGGCTATCGCAGGAAAGACCCGATTCTGCCACGGAGTTCCGTCTTCCAGCACCATGTTGCAGCACCATCTAGCCTTCTTGCCACTGCGACAATCGCAAAGCCGGCCGCTCTCTCTGATGTACGACACAATATCACTGCGTAGAAACTCCTCGTAAGCTTTCGCTTGTGTGAGTGTCAATGGGCAAAACACGACGCGATCAGTCTTCTTAGGAAGCTGCGCTCTTATGAGCGCTTTCATACGCCGCAAAAAGAAGTGCGGCAAAAGATTAGTGACAAGCATCTTCGCCGTCTTTCTCGCTCGAGCAAGCTCATAATTCGAAGCATTGTGACTCTGGCCCAGCTTTAGTGGTATGCAGACCGTATTCTTCCAGGCCGTTATCGGATCAAGTTTACCAGGATTAGCCCAGTTGAGCAACACCCACAGTTCTTCGTATTTATTCTGGATAACTGTTCCAGTCAATCCAATGCGGAACAGGGCGTTGATCTCGGCCATCGCTTTTGTGATTTCTGACTTGCGCTCTTTTATCTGGTAACACTCGTCCTTAACAACACAATCCCACTTGAGCATGTTGATCTCCTCCTTGTCAGTACTCTAACTCTTACTCGTACTGAGTGGAAATCTACCCCGGAGACGATAAGAGAATGGAGGGTCTTGGTGGACTCGACTAAGCGCGGTGCGCTCAACGGTTGGAAACTCCTTCGGGGGGGCCTGGCGAACCACATTCAGTCCTTTTCCCTCCTGTCAGGCCTTCCGCGAGGACGTCCCAGCAGTTGGGAGTACGGAGTGCATCACCTGTCTGACCTCCAGCATATCGGTGTCCGATCCAAATCAGTACGAGACATCCGTGCTTCGTTTCCTTTTATATTGTGGTGTACGATAGGTATGGTACGTTGTGATAATTGCCTCTGACATGCCTGCTTAAGCCTCTGGTAATACCTCGTGCCGACGAGAAGCGCCACCATGATAGGTATCGACGTGCCACCAACACCATCGTTTGAACTCATCTTTCAAGTTTTTTTATTAAAGTGCTGGGACAGATGATTAACGTCTCGGGGGATTTTTAGTTAGCCTGTCTCTTTTTGCGCCTTCTCTCTCTTGCCTCTTTTGTCACCAGTTTTCCCGTAAGCCGTGGTTAGGAATGATATTACTTGTACGGTCTTTCCGAGGCCCATGTCATCACCAAGAATTCCTCCTTTCTGATAGATAAATAGTTTATGCAAGAATGCCACACCCTTAACTTGGTAGTCTCGCAAAAATTGTGCAATCGGAGTAGGAATAAGGCCGAGGGAGTATGGCAATTGGATGTCTTTATACTCTCTGGTGGCAGTAGACACAGCGAACTCTGGTCGTTCTCTCAATTGCTGGATATTATCATCGGAGAAGTAGTCATCGGAGAATTAGACATCGTCTCAAGTGGGTTGGAACTCGAGCTATGACTTGCAAGCACAGGATCGCGCGTACAGAATTGGGCAGACTCGCGACGTCGAAGTATTTCGTCTCGTTAGCCAGGGGACGTTGGAAGAAATCGTGTACGCAAAATCTACAAACAGCAGCAAACCAGCATCGGATCCACCGCGACGTCCGAGCGACGATATTTCCAAGGTGTCCAAGATAGCAAAGATTAAAAGGGCGAGATTTTTGGACTTCAGAACCTCTTCGCCAACCAGAATGAAAATCAAGTGCTTCGAGACATTGTAAACAAGACAAACGTCGCAGAGTCCAAGGCCGGCGTCTGTGTCACGAGTCTTGAACTCGAGGAGCACGATTCGGACTCGTCTGATGGCGAGGTCAAAGATGAAGACCGCCTCATCAAGACCGAGGAGAAGGAAAACGCAGCCAAGTACAAGCTTATGCACCATATCCGATCATGCAAGGATCTAAAGCACTTGATTTACTATCGCTTCAACTCTGGCCCTGTTGGTAAAGGTCTCGGATGTGGTTTCTGGGCACCTTCGTGGCGCGTCTGGCTTCTTTTTCTGAGAGGTATTATCCACCTTCTCGAAAGATGGCTCTGTAATTTGTTATCCTGACAGTTCGAAGGTCGACACAGCAAAGGCATTGCTAAGACGGTTACCAAGCAACATGTTGAGTCACATTTCGATCTTGAGTTGCGTGCTTCAGTCATGGCTGATCTGATCGATACGACGCCCGAAGGTATCAGACAGTTCTTCAACATCTCTTAGAAGCATGGCGTTGCTGGAAGAGTAATATGTGGGAGGAGCGGTGAGAGGTCTCTTGAGCCATCGTAAAGGAGGGGTAATCGAATTGAGTCGGTCAACTAGATGCAAAATTGGAATCGCAGCGTACAACCAACCGTTACGCACAAGATGCACATGAGTAGCAATAGTACGGAATCTTTTTCGTGACTGATTAGTACTGAAGTCAGAAGATCGCACAACTCAACCTTGGTTCTTGATTGACATCTCCACGACCTTTGATCTACGAGTCGAGAGGTCGTTAACTCTGATTTGTTTGTCGAAGGAGTGACGTGAATTTCAAGAACTTCTTTCGCTGTCGCAAGAGTGCCAAGCGTCCCCCCGCTTAACTCTATGGAGCTTAGCCCTGGGGGTTACGAGACTCTGCGCAATGACATGGAATGCAGATGGTATTAATGCGAAAGATTTTGTAACGAGTTAAACCATTCAACAGATCTATCTAGTGAACTTGCCGTCTTTTCTGTGAAAGCACCCTCTCTCTCTCTCTCTCTCTCTCTCTCTCTCTCTCTCTCTCTCTCTCTCTCTTTCTCTCTCTCTCTACGAGGCTTGGACCTGGATTTTCAGGTAGATTCTGCTTGTGGTGCTAGAACCACGAACCAACGCGATCGCACGGCAGCTTCCGATCGTTCGGGAAATTTATCGAAGATCCACGACCATGACTTGCCCCGGCGACAGAATGAAAATGAACTCCCATCTGTAAATTATCATTGGTTTAAAGATCAGAACCCGCGGTCACGTTTGCGCGACCAATATGAGACCTATTTGAATTATCCAATAGAGAATCGAGGGTTTGTCACATGCCTCAATCGCGTCGTGGCTGAAGGCAAAGGCTGTTCGGGGAGAAGGACCATAATGATTCTGGGTCAGGTGGAAAGAGACCAAAATATAAAGTTGGAATACTACCGATGGATGAGATCGATCGATACGAGCGCCTCCATTGTGGCCAAATGCCATCAGATGCGACAGGGAGGTAGGACAATCAATATAATGCATGCCAGCCATGGCAGGGAACTATCGTGCCCTTCAGCGCCGAATCTCTTTGATCGAAAAATAAAGGCTCATGATCAAGCCAGGGTGAGAATCACAGCATATTGATGGCCTACTTAAAAACTCGCGTCCGCTGCCCTGTGTTGATGAAGGGGTCATGTAGACTAAAGGTGGTGGTTAATGAGCAGACTGGCCGTGTACTGTCGTCTGATACAGATCGCCGATCTGACAAGGACGCGAGTCTACGTCCGGCCAAGCCCTATGCGCGGGTCGACGCTACTGAGGGTCCAGGCTTTATCGCATGGCGTGCCTCGTACCTGCCCAGCATAAAGGGAGTGGCCCACAACAACTATCTTTGTTGTCGTTGGTCTTTCCGGCATACACGAGGAAGGCCTCTCAAGCTGCCTTTTACTCCATCGTGAGAGATTAGCATGGACACGCTGTTGAAGATGCGGACTTGTTAAGAAGCCATGCGCAGATGTCCCATCCAATATCTTCCCGAGGGTCCTCTGGGTTATGCGGGAAATCCGACAGGACCCATGCCGCTCAAGCAAAAAGCTAGCAGCGTATCATCCTCCATCATTCTGTCTTATCGTATCCTCCCTTTAGACTGAAATGGATTGCCACAATTGACCTAGATCGGTTTCACGCCAGTGGAGGGAGAGTGAAGCTGCTGTCATCCGGACACCATGATCAGCGCCTTGGCGAAGGCCGTAGGAGAAGGAGTAAAATTGAAACGATCGGTCGATGCGACTTCTGCGAATACACAACTGTATGTATGGACAACACCAGTCATGCGATAATCTGAATCGAGACAGTGCTTTTCTCGAGTTTGATTAGTCGGTAGTCCGGCGGCACAGGGTACCTGCTGAGAAGCTAAAGAACCATGTTTCTATATCAGCCGCGCATTGTGCACCTTACGGTCAATGAGTTCACACGTTGGGCCAATGGCACACTATTTGAACATTCTAGTACCTGATATAACCTCCTTACATGGAGGAAAGAGGTTAACATGTAAGATGAAGGTCTTCTAAAAAGCCGGAGCTACTTATCAAACTTGGGCGCAAAGTTGTTGGGTATGGATCGTGCCTGGACCAGGTTGATCCAGTGTCTATTGTGGTCTAGGGTGCTTTAGCGGGTGTAGGGCGCACAAAGCCGCCTTGAGGATAATGAGATCCACTTGCATCCGAGTGTACGACGACAATCCTCCGAATTAAAATGCTGCTACACCGAGCTTCCCCGATCGACTGTGAACACGCTCTTGTGATACGTCGCTTATATATTATATATTCGCATTGCAATTATCACCAAACTACCGTTCAAAAACACTAGTTTCTACACACCAAATACGACCTTTCTATGATTGTTTTGCTTCCAACGACACTGGGCCTCCCCTAGATACTTCTGCTGTAGATACTTCTGCTACGCTGGTCTTTGTCCGCACTATCAGGTTATTTGGCTCAGCGAAACATGGACACCGCATATCAAGCTCCTAATTTGCTATATCAGGTAGCTTCTTCTTATCAGACAATGGTCTGGGTAGTGCTGAATGTCCCAGCAATCCTCTTACGATGATGATATTTTCCTTCAACGTAACAATGATAATGACAATTATCCCGACCTGACATACTTTGATGAATGGCCTATACAGGGCGGACCGCAAGATTTGCAATTTGCTAACTATTCAACGACAAAGTCGCCCTTTGTGAATCCAGTGTATTTTGATTCGGTTGAAAACACGGTACCGGTATCCTTCATTGTACCCTCGCAGACACTTCTCGTTTCCTCGCCGCAACTATCGACAGGCCCTGTTAATACCCGAATGCTCATTGAGTATGAACAATCCCAGCCACCTATCACACCAGGCACAAAGAAGTCTGGGAAAAAGTCTAGTATGGTGACACGATTCGCAGCTTCGCCCAATAATTTGCGTATCGACGCTAGAGAAGGACCAGGTCTGGCGCCAGGCGTCCCTGCGAGCCAAAGTTCTGCAGGAGCAATAGCTCAAGCACACTTGGGGACTGGAGATCAGGTTCCATTGATCGAGACAAAACCAGAGAAGAAAAGAGGTCGATCTGATTCGTCCGAGGACGAAGATTCTGCGAGCCTCAGGGCTAAACACAATCACACCATGATTGAGCGTCGATACCGTGACAATCTTAACGGGAAAATCAACCAGCTTCATCGCATCCTACAAGCCACCGAGGCCAATTCTCCTTTGATGCTTTTCGATGCTGAAATCTCTGATCACGGTCGAAGGGTCCGGAAGAGCGATATCATGGCGAGAGCGATACAATACGTTAATCGCTCAGAGCTTGAGGGTCGTCACAAGAGGGACGAAATCCAGCGCTTGAGGGAGAAAGTACAAAACCTCGAGAGGCTGGGCAAATGCGGAGACTGCACGCTACTACAAAATATGAGGAGAATAGACTTCAGCAAAGGGTCCTGCTGAAACCCAGGGTGCTCCCCAGTCATTCTTAACCTCGGTATTTACGACTTTGCGGGTATCCTCCCGCTCAGCACATCTGTCGCGATACTTTCGACTTGTGCTCTGGCGCGCTGGATTCGACAACTCTGGAGGAATTGACTAATCTCTTTCACTCGTACCTGTAAGGCGGGATTCAAATGGTCTCTCCAAAACGTGATGTTAGAGTGTTTTGCTCCCTGCGTTTTTTCAGAGGAGACACTCTCTTTTCATTAGTCTGTTTCAGGCAGAATGCGAAAATCCTTTCAACCAATTTGATAACTACAAGGACTACGGGGACCGCGTCCCACTCACTGACTGATCTGGTTTCTCTGCCAACGCAGACGTAGCCACTCAGGAGGCAGCATAGTGGGCTCCCTCGCATCCAACTTTCCGTCACTCTCTTGCGATAACTTGTCGAGTCTTTGCTGCAGAATTGCTCCATCTTGACAGTGCTGGGTTACAAGTCAGGAATGAGAGAAGCAGACGAAGCAGATAAAACCGACCATGGACTTGGATCGACATTCTCTGTGCCTTGTGTTCAAGAAAGTGATTCAAAGATCATACGCATTCAGACAATTCTGTTGCATAATACTTCTAATTGGATTCCTTTCCCGCCATTATCTAGCTTACTTCTTCTGGAAAGGAATAAGCTATTGACCACACTATTGCTACGGAAGGTGGATATTACCATTGTCCGTATAACTCTTACGCCTCACCTTGTACAACTTCTTCAGCCATTGTCAAGAGGAACCCTCAGGCGTAGGCTGCAGCCGTAGCCGCCGCACGTTCCTGCAAACCCTTGTTCTTGTGTGAACCCACATAGTCACATATGCCGCGAACCAGTAGATACAGGAGGATTATACATTAACCCCGCCGCTTCGATCTCAAAGCAAAGAGCGTCGTGGAATCGCCCTCTGATCTTTCCCGAGACATGTCCGACTTAATCACCCGGTCTCCGGGCTAGATCATGTTATAGTGCATGCGAATCTCGTCGGGACTCCCACATCTGTACGCCGGACCTCGTATTCTTCATCGTGCTTCACACTCCGTGCCGGATTCGTGCCGGGCTCGTGCCGATATTTGGCATCGAAAGGCGGTCTGGCAGAGAGGGGCGTCGATATCGCTGTCATGGGCGTGGGAAACCCTCGAGTCGACGCAAGTGGGTTGTGAACAAACTTTCATCAGTTTCTTGCCCAAGATACTTGTCTTCCGCCGCAATGACAACCTGCAGCAACTGGCCGGGTGGCTTAGTTAGCGTTTGGGTCACTTCGATCCCTTTTCCTTTCCCAACTCATACTGCAACACTGCCGGGCCAATTTTCTGCGGCTCGGCATGTTCCTGGACGTCCGACGTTTATTGCCCACAACTTTGACAATAGCGACTTTCTCTGCTCGCCTCGAGCCGAACCGACAACAGCCACGTTATCTTTCTCTATTCGGCCCAGTGTATATACCTTTGCTTCTCCCTGTGGGAGTGGGATTGGCTCATATCCTTCATTCAGTATCACGGTGGTGGCGTTTATCTCGGGAGGCTTGACCTAGACCAGCCTGATGGTGTAGGCGTCCGCCGGAAGAAGCTTCCTGGGCTCATGATGAAATATTGCTCAAAAGGCTATCGGACCCTCCTTGATGGTACTCTCGTACGAGACAGGCTTGCGAGCGATTTGGCGCAAGGAGAGTATCAAGAGGAATCTCTCGACGACGGTAGATATCAATCGCGGATTCAATGCGTTGGAGGCTAGGGCTGAAGCGAAGGTACTTTGATGTCAACAGAGGGGGCGCGCGATGGGACGTGTCATCTAGGTCAATGCGGGCCAATATGTCAAAGTGTACAGCCGCATATCAGGTAGAGGTGGAGCTAGGGTGCATTTACCATTCACTTCCCGGGATTGTCGACTCCTGAGCGTGTTGTGTCTGGCGAACCAGCAGACCAGCGGCCCCAATAACGCATGCTGCTGCCCGAAGGATGCCATCACACATCGGCGTAACACCAAAAGGCTATGTGCGCGTCAGGATCTGGAGTCCCTTGTATCCAATCAATGTGCGCCGTCGATCCGTAATGCGAAGAACAGGGTTAACTTTAAGACATCAGAAGAGAAAGTGCGATGTTGCCTGATTACGCCTTGGCTGCCGACCACACGACTAACTTTAGGTGGGTAAGGTAAACGCGATAGTTAGTCAGGTTCTGAGTAAGTGATACATCTACGCGCCGAATCGCGGATGCGTAGCGCACTTTATCATATATCTTAGGTCCTCGCCATCATCCTGTCGGTCAAGTGAAACTTTAGGGCGCATCGAGGTGATCTACCGTTTGACTCTCAGTCGATACTGCTCATTTTTGACCGGATCATAAGCAGGCTTTAGTAGTAGAAATTTTTGATCATAGGCGGTGGGAACCCTTGGGTTCCATGTTAAGAAGTAAAAGATGACGAATGAAAAGACTTAAGATGCATCACTACTTTAGCAGAAGCTCTGTAATCTGTTCACTTTAGTGTCTAAGCTATCCGCTCTGCTCTTTAAGCTGTTCATTTTGCTATTTAATCTGGTCACTTTACTATTTAAGTAATTGCACTAGCTCCTTTCGTTATTATTTAGAGTCTATTCGTTACTACTCTAGCTAAGCCACTAATAACGTCTCCCTATTCTTAGTATCCTTTCATTGTTACTCAGAGTCTTTTCATTACTGCTCTAGCTACTGTTATAAGTTTTAAATTATGGTTCGAAACTTAGCATTTAAGCCCCTCCCTCGCTGTGGTTTACGAAACCTCTTATCTTGAGATTCGGGCGCACTACTATTATCCTATGAGCTTTATACGCTAAGGTTATTAATATTAGTTAGTTTAAGTGTCCTTATAATCGGGTTAGGCAGCTTATTAATTACCGCGGTAAGTCACCAGAGTAGAGCCGGGGCGAAAATTTGGTAAATATTAAGTATAAATTAGTGACTAGTTTATCTGTGTTCGCTCCTTTTGTCTCTAACATTAAGTTCTTTAATTGTCTTACGAAAGTATAATGTGTTCTAACCCTTTACCTTAGGATAGTAAGCATAGATACACATGCTTTAGTCGTCATGCGAAATGGAAAATCCTAAGGCTGGCCTATGCATCTCCGAAGCATGGTTAGCCTTGCGAAAGATGTCTATAATTCCCCGGAGCGTAACCATTATACTATAAGCATTCGGTCAATCTACTAAGTTAAGCCCTTACTTCTCACACTTTACCTCGTGAGTTAAGAAGAGAAAATAAATGTCCTTACGCGCTATATAGTATAACTTCTCTAAAGGTTTAATATGGAGCTTTTAACACTAAATTTCGGTAAAGTTAGACCATCTATATATATGGTTTAGCTATGGCCGGGGCCTATAGAATGAAATGGCTTTAACCTAGAGGTCGTTATAACCTTCGATTAAACCGCGAAATTCTTCTTAACCATTAATGTATAGGTTTTTAATTAATAGAATGAGGGGAAGATATAGGTTAAGATAGACTTAGGCTTCGGATCAGCCTTAAATTAAAGTCTAGAATTTGTCGAACTAGTTATTAAATAACGAATGATTAAGACGCGATTAGATATATATAGAGAAGCTTCTCGCATAAGATTCGGTCTTCCTTCACGAGACTAGCATTAGATAGCCGCATTAAACTGCCCTTAGTCTCTAAAACCATAGGGTAGTTTACATCTTTATAGGGCGAATATTTCTTATCTGCTAAAACTGTGGATTTCGTGCCGTTACTAGATTGCGAAAGTTAGCGACTTAATGAATCTAAGGACTAAGATCGTTTTGATGGTGGCAGACTTATGTTATCTTAGGTATCGCATTTATCACTAGGTAAAACGCTTAATAGTCACTTCTTAATAAATGCACCGCTATCTGATGGTGCTAAAGCTGAGTGAGCCCTCTTTAAAGATAAGCACTTAGTGTGTCTACCTAGCGACCTTATCTTTCGTTCTGGTATAAGAGAATTAATAGGAGACAGTTCATAATATATCTATCTCACCTTATTAGTATTTTTATTCCCAGAGACACATTCATTACATTCACTTATGTTATCGGTTTTTATGGCTGACGGAGATAAAAGTTAATGGTGCACCTTTAAAAGAGGGATCTTAGGAGTGAGGTCTTTCACTAGGGAAGATAAAGAGACTTATTAAAGGTCTATTAAGTGGCGAATCTTATGAGGACGTTCGCTATTATCGCTCTGCATAGCGTGTTATTTATCTAGAAAATGTTAATAATCCATTAATTCTACGTTCCCTAGTCATTTGAGGCTCTTACCGTGTAGATTAGTCTATTCGTGACTCTGCACGTTCGTAGCCTCTTTATTAGGTGAGAACATGTGTTATAGAGGAGAGTAAGCGCTCTCATATCGATTAGCATAGTGTCATGTCAGTCTCTTAAAGAGTTAAAGCCTTTAGGTCTATTAGCGCAGGAAAGAGTGTAGGCTAAGGCGAGTTACACCGTTATCTAATTAAGTGGGCTAGACTAGGTGTCACATGCGACTTCTTAAGGGCACTTAGTCATTTAGGCTAAGGATAGGCTGCACTATCAATCACGGATCACTTTAATTTCGCCTTACTCTCACCGGTTTATATGCGTTATCGCGACATAATTTTCGAACTATATTTAACTGACTTTAATTGAATAGATAGTTCGCTTTTGAAAGCTATCCTTAAAAGGGCTAAAGACTAGCTGATAATGTGTGTACGTGCTATTCTTACGCTATTAACCTTTGATAATTATCTTAATAAGTTCTTAATGAGTTTTATTACCCTTCCCTTATCTCTTACTTCTACTAGTTAAATGATAAAGTGTGCTTTCTAGAGTGTGTAGAGAAGTTAAGAGACTAATAAACGTTTTATTTATTAAGACTCTCACTATTTAAATCTATCTATTAACTTCGCAGATTAAAGTATTAGTATAAACTAAAATGTCTTTCTCTGTTAAACGCACTAGATCCAGTTAATACCGCTAATAAGTAACTAGTAAATCTTATTGTCACTAATTCTTATCTCTTTTCTCTTTAATAGCTTTTGCCCGCGATAGTTATCTCTCTTATTAAGAATAGTAAACTGCGACTCTAACAAACTTATCTCTAGGCGCCTTAACGTTTTCGGCCCTAGAACCTTCGCTCTGTTCACGTCATATTTACTTTTCCTTATTCTCACTTATACTCTCTATATAATGACTCTAACCGCTACAT